GATTGCTTGGATGTGTCAGTATGTATCATGACCTTCTACTCAGTTTTGTTGCATGGGTCAGTCTGATGGCAAACTACTCATTTTTGTTGCATGAGTCAGTCTGTCTGATAGCAAACTACTCAGTTTTGTTGCATGAGTCAGTCTGTCTGATGGCAAACTACTCAGTTTTGTTGCATGGTCAGTCTGTCTGATGGCAAACTACTCGGTTTTGTTGCATGAGTCAGTCTGTCTGATGGCAAACTACTCAGTTTTGTTGCATGAGTCAGTCTGTCTGATGGCAAACTACTCAGTTTTGTTGCATGAGTCAGTCTGTCTGATGGCAAACTACTCAGTTTTGTTGCATGAGTCAGTCTGTCTGATAGCAAACTACTCGGTTTTGTTGCTTGGGTCAGTCTGTCTGATAGCAAACTACTCGGTTTTGTTGCATGAGTCAGTCTGTCTGATAGCAAACTACTCTGTTTTGTTGCATGAGTCAGTCTGTCTGATAGCAAACTACTCGGTTTTGTTGCATGAGTCAGTCTGTCTGATAGCAAACTACTCAGTTTTGTTGCATCAGTCATTCTGTTTGATGGCAAACTAATCACTTGTGTTGCATGGTCAGTCTGTATGATGGCAAACTACTCAGTTTTCTTGCATCGGTCAGTCTGTCTGACTGCAAACTACTCAGTTTTGTTGCATTGGTCAGTCTGTCTGATAGCAAACTACTCAGTTTTGTTGCATCAGTCAGTCTGTTTGATGGCAAACTACTCACTTTTGTTGCATGGTCAGTCTGTCTGATGGCAAACTACTCGGTTTGTTGCATGGGTCAGTCTGTCTGATGGCGAACTACTGGATTTTGTTGCATGGGTCAGTCTGTCTGATGGCAAACTACTCGGTTTTGTCGCATGGGTCAGTCTGTATCAGTGGTGCCACTTTTCTTCGTCAAAAAACATCCAGAATAGAGTTTTAAAATATCCAAAAACATCTAAATTTGCGTGGGAAAACATCTAGAAAAAACATCCAAATGGAAAGAGTCACAAATTACATAGCTAATGATATGACTTACTCTATAGAATCATGTCCTCATCTTTACTTTACTTTTGGCATGTTGAAAAGTTTTTTTTTTTTTTAAAGTGAAAGCCACACATGAAGGGTGAGCAATTATTGTTTTTTTAAATCACAGAAAGAAACACAAAGTCAGTACAGTGAGGATACAGTTGAAACAAAGTTACTATGATTTATGCGCGCTTTTAATCAGTACCAGAGCTGCCAGATATTTAAGCGTTGACCCCAGTGAGAGTTCACAGTTTAAGTAATCGCAATTATTACAATGTACGTGCCAGACCAAAACAAAAATATTGAAGTAAATATTTTACACAGTAATTATTAGACTGACACCGAAAGAAAAAAATCTATAAAATATCTAACTTTAAATTAAAAACTTCTGGAAAAGCATCTACCATCTAAACGTCAAAAACATCATCTAAATGCCAGGGACAATATCTAAATCTGGATGCAAAACATCCAAAGTGGAACACTGGTCTGTTTGATAGCAGTTGAAACTGCAGTTTTGTTGCATGGGTCAGTTTGTATGATGGCAGACTGCTCAGTTTTGTTGCATGGGTCAGTTTGTATGATGGCAAACTACTCAGTTTTATTGCATGGGTCAGTCTGTAGAATGACAGATTACTCATTGTATTGGATGAGTCTGTGTGATGGCAAACTACTCAGTTTTGTTGGATAAGTCAATATGTATGATTGGCTAATTAATTAAGTAGGAGAAGGCTCATGTAGTGCCAGTCAAATACAGAGACTGGACTTCATTTTTGTGGTAGGAGACAAGTATTTAGACTAGCCCTGTATACATAAGGTATAGTATGGTGCGATGTGTGGCAAGAGATAAGACTAGCTCTGATTAACATAAAGATTAAATGCATGAAAGTATAGTTAAATGTGATAAGGGGAAAATAGATAAAACTATCCCTACTTAGAAATGTATTACAGTTTTTCAATGTTGAATGGGTGATCAGACAGTGCCTGAGAATTGATTTTTTTTTAGAGTGATGGAGACCTAGGAATAAACCCCAAAAATAAGCACTTTAAAAATGATCTAATGCCACCTGAGACTTGTGATGTTTTGAATGTTAATTGGATGACTAGACATCATCCCAAATATTTGTACATTTCTACACTTGATTTAGCTTGCTTTCCTTTACATATGTGTAACCACAATATATGACAGGCTGTGTGCGCTTCATTAACACGTAAAAGCTGGTAATATATATGTTAAATAATAACTCTGTGTGATTTATTACAAATAACATGTATTTAACTAAGTATAATATCTCTGCATACTGTTTATGTAATCAGAATAGTCAAACCATTTCAGCCATTTATCTTTCTTAGTGTAAGTTATGGTTATTTATACAGTTATACCAGATTTTTGTTTTGTAATTGTCATTTTCCCAATACAATAGCAAGTTAATAAAGTTTCAACAGTGCCCAGAACAATTTTCTTGTATGGTTGCATGTTCATTCTTACTTGTGTAAGACTTGATAATTATACCCAAAAAGTTTAAATACTCTTGTAAACAGTGATACATAAGACCTATGATACTAGATTCATATTTTTGTGGTCAACATCAATTTATCCACCTTTACCTTTCCACAACTTGACCTAGTTGCTAGATTCATATTTTTGTGGTCAACATCAGTTTATCCACCTTTACTTTCCACAACTTGACCTAGTTGCTAGATTCATATTTTTTTGTTCAACATCATTCCATCCACCTTTACTTTCCACAACTTGACCTAGTTACTAGATTCATATTTTTGTGGTCAACATCAATTTATCCACCTTTACTTTCCACAACTTGACCTAGTTGCTAGATTAATTTTTGTGTGGTCGACATCAATTTATCCACCTTTACTTTCCACAACTTGACCTAGTTGCTAGATTCATATTTTTGTGGTCATCATCATTCCATCCACCTTTACTTTCCACAACTTGACCTGGTACCCCTTTTAGGCTGGGTCATCTAAGAGCGAAGGGCAATTGTGAAAAAATATGCTACGATGCAGATATGAATTCAAGACTTTCAAACTGACATGCGAGCACTTAGCCACTACACTACCGCAGCTGCACAACATAATCATCATCTTATGCAATGCTGGTAAGCATAGGCTGTCATATTTTGCCATCTTACAGTCACCGGAATCACAGATCAATTCAATGTTTTTGTCTCGCCCCATCCGTCTGGACAGGCCATCCAGGTTTTTATCTCTTTGCCTTCCTCGTGCTCTCTTGCCACCAGTCTTGCCAATTACCAAGTTCTCAAACCCATTCCTTTTCATATGTCCACAAATAGTTACAGTCTCCGTTGAACTAATCCTTCTCATCATATGTCCACAAATAGTTACAGTCTCCATTTAACTATTCCTTCTCATCATATGTCCTCAAATAGTTACAGTCTCCGTTTAACTATTCCTTCTCATCATATGTCCACAAATAGTTAGTCTCCGTTTAACTATTCCTGCTCATCATATGTCCACAAATAGTTAGTCTCCGTTTAACTATTCCTTCTCATCATTTGTCCTCAAATAGTTAGTCTCCGTTTAACTATTCCTTCTCATCATATGTCCACAAATAGTTACAGTCTCCGTTGAACTGTTACAATAAGTTAATGACTTTCATCTGTCTTGAGGAAGACTGCTTTGTTTAATTTTCTATTATTCCATGATATTCTTTACTTTTTTCTCAGAAACTACATCTTTGCGGCAGTTAAATCTTTTTTCAGCTTGTTTTTTCTTTATTGTCCTCGTTTTACTTGCATATAACAACACAGGTTCTTCATAACACAGAAGCTACTACATACAGTTAAATCCTTTATCTTTTATACACAGTTATGATTTGACCAGTTACAACATCATCTCATCTGATGTGCCCTTCCCAGTATCATAGGCACTCATGGCTCTCCACAAATCTCAGTCCTTGTTATTTAGAAGAAATTCCACTGACAGTATTTCTCCATGCCATCCTTTCAGGTCGTCAAGCATCGCCTCTCCTGTTCTGCCTCTACGCCTTCTGTGTTAAAACTGTTAGATTTGAAAATACGTAAACTGGTTTTAAAAACTATATAATTTAGTTTCCCCTTTTTGGTTTAGGCTTGTAAAAGCTGTTGATCCCAGGCCACTGCCTGCCATCATTTCTTTCTGGTTTACTTCTTTGCCTATCACAATTATTACCTAAATAGGTAAGTTGATACCTTACTTTAATTTTTTTAATAAATCATAAATCTTGCTAAATATTATATATTATACACTTAAATGCATTTCACACATTGACCTCAAGCATAGAGCACAAAGTTTGGTTTGAGATTATTTCAACATATTTGACTGCAGCAGTCACTGACCTTAGCTGGGAGTTATCAAGCTCAAATTGGGGTGATGAGGTGGGTGGAGGAGGGGGGGGGGCAATAGGCATGTATATATTAACCTACTACGGGGGGGGGGGGGGGGGGGCCGCATTAGCGCAGTCAATAGTAGACTCACTTTCAATTCCAGCTGTGACTCGTTGCAGCCCACGGCTGGTGTTCGAAACCGGATGGTTCCTTGGGTTCACCCAGCCTATAGGAAATAGGTACCAGAGTTACACTCTGGAGTAAATGGAGGAAGGTCGCTGCAGCTACGGAGATTCGTGCGGACGGTGACACAGGCGGACCGTTTCTTATCAGCTGTCCATTTTGGTGGCAGAGCACTTATGGTTTATAACCGTGTGCAGTGACCGTGGGTCACATCTCGTGACTTTACCTTTATATTAACCTACCCTGCATTTCCCTTAGGCAACTAAGGAGAGTAGGTGTGAGACTATGTACCTCATTCCAGCTAAATCATTCTAGCCATCATTAACAAGTCTTCAAAGCACTTGGGTGAGTGGTTTCCACTTCCATATGAGAAGTAGAAGTCATAGCATTGTGTTATGTTTGTATTGTACTGACTGTCCTTATTATCTGTCTCTCTAGCTGCAAGACCCTCGCTGCAACATATAACTAAGCACCGAGCACACTTACCAAGCAACAGGCTTTTGCCTCAACGCTTTGCCAGGCGAGTGAAATCATTCAGCGACATGGATGATGTCAGCGAAGTTTGTTCATCGGAACTCATTCCTGCAATCAGCATTCAGCAGTCTCCAAAACTGTCTCAGAGTTTGGACACCTTAGCTGCAGAATCCATCTATGTGACTGTACCGGACTTGTCATGTATGCAAGAGGAGGATGAGATCATGGTATGACATTTTCAGGTCATCTTAGGTTGGTGCATGAAGCAAACTGCTGTATTCAGGACAGGAGGAATTTTAATAAACTTCTGAATTGAAGATCTTGTAGGAATGTATGTGGTTGGGACTGGTACAGTTGATTGTCGAATGAGAGCTGTAACCCTGGGGAAGTGGGCCCTCTATCTGCTAGTAGAAAGATGTGAGAATGTTAACATGATTGCTTTGTCTGTTAGCAAAGCAGTGTTGTGGAGAATGTTAATATAGCAATCTGTTAGCAGAGATACGGAGAATGTCTTTTGCTGTACTGTTAACAGCAGAGTGGAGAATGTTAACGTGATTGCTTTATGTGTTAGAAAATGTGGAGAAATGTAAAATTATTGTTGTATCTGTTAGCAGAGATAAGGAGAATGTTAGCCTGATTTCTGTACTGCTAGCAGCAGTGTGGAGAATGTTAACATGAAAACTGAGTCTGTTAGCAGAGATGTGGAGAATGATTGCTGTATCTGTTAGCAGTGTTTGCATCACTGTAGAGAGTGTAACATGAATGCTGTGTCATTTAGCATAAATGGGGAGAGTGTTAACATGATTGCTTTATCATTTAGCCTGAATGGGGAGAGTGTTAACATGATTGCTTTATCAATTAGCCTGAATGGGGAGAGTGTTAACATGATTGCTTTATCATTTAGCATAAATGGGGAGAGTGTTAACATGATTGCTTTATCAATTAGCATAAATAGGGAGTGTGTTAACCTGATTGCTTTATCATTTAGCATAAATGGGGAGAATGTTAACATGATTGCTTTATCATTCAACATAAATGGGGAGAATGTTAATATCATTGCTGTATCTGTTTGTAGAGATGTGAAAATGTTACAACATGATTTATGTACTGTTAGCAGAGATGTGGACCCTGTTTTCATGATTATCGCTGTTGTTTCATGCTGACGTTATTGTAAAACAAACAAGTTACTTTCTGTATTCAAATATTCTAACAATCAAAACAACACACATATTTCATATCTGACTTTGAAACTGTCTGCACCAGTCACTCCCTTGTGTTTATCAGTTACTTTACATATAATGTTTCTTCTTTTGTCTTTCAATCCCCAGTGGAGCATAGGTCCTCAATCATTTCTTATCTTCTACACTTTGTCGAGATAGATGTTGTGTGTAACTATATATTATCATCATTTAAATTTGTTTAGACTGAATTATTACAACAATGTTGATATTACAGAAAGATAAGTCTCATTGTGAATGTCCAGATCATCATGGTTTAGCTTTTGGTGGCTGTACTCACCGGTGCAAAACCAGGTTTGGACATGACTTTGTTGCACTTTATCATACAGTAGGCATGTGAAACTTTTCTCTGAAGTTAGGAAGAAGGAAGTAGCAAGCAGTTGAACTGGAAACTCTACCTGTTAAAGCAGATGCATAAGTGTATATGCATGCGTGTGTATACCTGTGTGTGTGGTCAGGGGTGGAGAGGGTCGGACCTTGTTTATGTATCTGGCTTTGTAAAAATAAACATATTTATGGTGGTGTTATTTCTGTTCCCGTCTTCAAAGTGGTTGACTCTCATTCTGCTGGTGCTGAAAACTAATCTGGGCTGGAGTAGCTTCTAAATTATCATTGTCTATACTTGCTCAAATCTGGCAGACCAGTGTGGGTCAGGAGTTTGTTGAAGATTTCTCCTCAAAGTTCACATCAGTTAAATATATAAACACCAGTTGGGGAACAAAATGCCAAGGACTGTTTTGTGGAGGGGGCACATCGGGAAGGGAATGAGAATGAAGGAAGAAATGAATGCAGAAAGGATGAGAGCTGAGTGTCTGAGAAGAAACAGACTAAACACAGATCTTGACAACAATGGTCCTGAAATCCCATGCTATAATTGTGGAAGGCTTTTCTGAACGCATGCGGGTCTTTGCTAGTTACATTGGTCATCACCATGGGCTGCGAGTCTCATGCCTCCACATGGTAAGGTGCCAGTTGGTTAGATTAACACTGTTGACTTAGCCAGGAGATAATTACATGTTAGGTAATTATATCCTGACCTTGAGACTCTCCAACATGAGAGTGTATAGAGAGCTGAGCCTGCCCTAGCTCAGATACTGATCATTTGTTAACCTGTGATGCCTAACCGCTCAATCAGTATATGGGCAAGAGGAAGAAAATATGTTGGCTACTTAGTTCATATTACATACTATGTATTTTGTTGACTTGGATCAGATTAGTATGTGCTGTTTTAATGTGACATTAACACTGTAAGTTGTTGGTCTAGATCACATGACATATTTTGTTTTTGCCGACTTAGGTCACATGACATTATGTTGATGACTTATGTCATATGATATTTTGTGTGTATTATCACCTTCGTCTTGTGAAACCACATTTGTATGTTTTTGACTTAGTCAGACTACATCATGTCCCAGGTCACACATATATCTTCTTTACCTTCTTTTTAAAGTTCTCTGGCTGTAAACTCCGGCAGAAAGTTCTGGCTGTTCATTCATCTCTAGACTTTGATCTTGTTCTTAAGTTTTTGCATGCATATCCGTTTTACAAATCTGGCTTATTGCTATGTATACTATTGTCCCTTGCCTCTCAGACAGATGTACTGTGAGTTAGAAGGAAACCCCCTAATAAGTCTCTTATGACATGCTTATAAAGGTCACAAGTGGGTCTGATCCTTTCCTCCACAGTATTGTTCCCCGGAACCCACACTGGAAACATATAAGTTATCATCTTACTCAACAGATTTGGTATGCTTAGGTCACATTACATATATTGGTTCAGTCTTATACCATCACATATTAGGTATGTTATTGATTTATTCATACTACATCACATATTATATATGTTATTGATTTAGTCATACTACATCACATATTATGTATGTTATTCATTTAGTCATACTACATCACATTTTATGTTTGCTATTGACTTTGTTTGCTCACAAATCATATTAAATATGTTATTGATTTGAGTTACAACACATATTATGTGTATTATTGAATTAGTCTGCATATGTGTGTGTTATTCCCCTAATCCGTTTGCCCCTAAGAATCTTTCTTTAAAAAAAAAAATATAGTGAAAAATCACATATTTTGCAAATTTCATTTTAGAAATCAACAAGAATGTAATGTACCATTATAATTCTTTGAAATTTTACCTGGAGAAACTAGTAACAGAGAAGAAGAAGCAAAAGAAATTTGGGGTCTAGGGGGTTGTTGTTTTCAAAGGTCACACCATTAATCACATCACATCCTTTGTGGTTGTTGTTTTCAAAGGTCACACCATTAATCACATCACATCCTTTGTGGTTGTTGTTTTCAAAGGTCACACCACATAACATATATTGTAATTACTGTTGAAAAATACCAGAAATTACATGTGTTTTTGTCATATAGCCATGTTATTTCTTTACAAACTATCAAATTTTTCTTTATGCTGCTATAGTCACACAGGTCAGATTTACCTACACTCTGTTGCTAAAGGGGGACAGTAATATTTTGCCTTTACTTTCTGCTTTGCTTTGATTAATTTTTTTCTAATTTTACAGTTGTATTACAAATGCCTGTTTTCTATAAACATTTATACCTGGTGCTTTGTCGTTCTACAAGATTCACACACAGTCCTACTCTCACATGTTTTTTACAGCTGGCTGAAGGAAACATCTTAAGATTTTCTGGACAGACTATAGTGATGCAAATGATTTGAATTACTTGGAGAATCATTTTAAACCAAAAAATGAATTGGAGAAAACAAGTATAATTGAACGCTTTAATGAGAGAAGATTATAGAATGGTGTAGACCAAGGCTGTTTAACAAAGTTAACTAAAAGTTTAACTAAAATTTTGAAAATGGGAGCAAACATTTGGACAATAGGGTTCGTCAGAGGCTAGAGCCCAAACATAGAAAGATCATTAATACAATACACCTGGCAGTGATTTATGGGCCAGTTGCTAGGCGTGTGGAGACCAGATGTGGCCTGTGAGCCGCTAGTTGAAAATCCTTGGTGTAGACCTTAAGCTGGGTAGCCTACAAAATTGATTCTTGTAAAAACTCCCTAGGCCTGTGCTGGAATATTATCAGACAAAATTGATTTAGTGTAAAAACTCCCTAGGCCTGTGCTGGAATATTATCAGACAAAATTGATTTAGTGTAAAAACTCCCTAGGCCTGTGCTGGAATATTATCAGACAAAATTGATTTAGTGTAAAAACTCCCTAGGCCTATGCTGGAATATTATCAGACACAATTGATTATTGTAAAAATTCCCTAGGCCTGTGCTGGAATATTATCAGTCAAAATTGATTTAGTGTAAAAACTCCCTAGGCCTGTGCTGGAATATTATCAGACAAAATTGATTCTTGTAAAAACTCCCTAGGCCTGTGCTGGAATATTATCAGACACAACTGATTATTGTAAAAACTCCCTAGGCCTGTGCTGGAATATTATCAGACACAACTGATTATTGTAAAAACTCCCTAGGCCTGTGCTGGAATATTATCAGACACAACTGATTATTGTAAAAACTCCCTAGGCTTGTGCTGGAATATTATCAGACAAAATTGATTCTTGTAAAAACTCCCTAGGCCAGTGTTGTAATTCAAACAAGATATTTCTATGTTGAGATACACACTGTAACCTCAAAAGTATTATTTACAAACATTCATGATGGTTTGATATTTTTACATTCTCAAAACATAATTTAATTGTTTTAGGTTGATATTCCCATACAGTCATAAAGTCAGAAGTCAAGTGTTTTAGGTTGATATTCCCATACACTCATGACGTAAAGTCACTGTTTCAGACTGTTTCTTATATATATTCTTACCAGGATGCAATATTTAGGGATATTTCATGATATTTCCAAGCATTTATGACATAAAGTCAGTGTTTTGGGCTGATAATGACATACACACATGACATGAAGTCAGAAGTCAGTGGTTTTGGGCTGATATTCACATACGTTTAAAATCTATAGGCATTGTTTTTCTTTAATTGTTT